CTTCTGCAGCAAAGAGCAGGCCCTGTTGCACACCAAACGAGTCTCAAACCATCAACGCGTGATCCTTACACCAAGTGGGTGCGAATTAAGGTTCTGTTCAACTCATGACAGAGGCTGGTTCAAAGTTGGGGCTGGGAAACTCATATCCATCTCTTACCTGTCTGGGTCTCCATCGTCAGTGAAGAACATGAATGCTAGAATCAAGCGATTCCACTGGGTGCGGAGCTGCCAGTCAATACAGCCATGACCTCTGGAATTATCTTCCCTACATGGTAGACGTCACTGCATCTTAACAGTGTCTCTAAGTTCAAAGACCCTGGGACCTAATGAATAATGCATATAAGACGTCAACAAAACTCCACTCTCCGAGGACAGCATGTGCGATAGAACTTTCTGGGGTGATGGGGAGTTCTGTGTCTATGCTGCCCGATAAGGTAGCCACAAGTCACTGTGGGCCACTGAGCACGCAAAAGGTGGGACAGAAGTGAATTATTATTATTATTTTTTGAGTTGGAGTCTCACTCTGTCGCCCAGACTGGAGTGCAGTGGCCGCTCCTGGCCACCGCAGCCTCGGCCTGCTGGGCTCCGGCGATCCTTCCGCCTCAGCCTTCCAAGTAGCTGGAACTACAGGCGTACGCTACCACGCCCGGCTGATTTTTTGATTTATTGTAGAGATGAGGTCTCGCTGCCCAGGCGGGTCTCGAACCCGCGGGCCCAGGCAATCCACTCACCTCAGCCTCCCAAAGGCGCGGGATTACAGGCTGAGCCACCGAGCCCGGCTGCGGAAGTGAATTTTTTAACAAATGTTTTTTTTGAAGTGATTTTAGATTTAGAGAAGAGTTGTCGATGATAGATAGTTCCCATAAAGCTTTCAGCCAGATTCTGCTAAATATGAATGTCTTACAACACTATGGTGTTTATCAAACTATGCAGGTAACACTGGTGCAATGTTAATAACGAAACCACAGGCTTACTTTGGGATTTCATCAGGTTTTCCACTGACATCTCTTTTCTGGTCCAAGATCCAGGTTTCCACGTTGCGTTTAGGCCTCATGTCTCCTTAGGTTCCAATCTGTGACAGCTTCATGGCCTTTCCTGGGTCTTTGTGATTCTAGCACTTTCTTTCTTTCTTTCTTTCTTTCTTTTTTTTTTTTCTTTTGAGTTGGAGTCTCACTCTGTTGTCACCCAGGCTGGAGGGCAGTGGCACACTTCTGACCTGCTGGGCTCGGGCGATCCTTCCTCTTTAACCTTCCAAGTAGCTGGAACTACAGGCACATGTCACCATGCCCAGCTAATTTTTTCATTTATTGTAGAGGTGAGGTCTCGCCAAGTTGCTCAGGCTGATCTCAAACCTGTGGACTCAGGCAGTCCTCTCACCTCAGCCTCCCAAAGTGTTGGGATTATAGGTTTGAACCACCACGCCCAGCGAATCTGGATCGCTGGCCAGAGATAGTGCCTGTCATGGCTCTCCCCTGTCACCGTGCAGTTTCAGAAGTGTCACCAAGTCCAGCCAACCTTCAAGGGGAGGGAATTAAGCTGCAATTCTTGGTGGAAGGAACGTCATGGAATTTGTGTACATATGTTAAAACCACCGCCATGATTCATAAATCTTTGCGGGGGAGATGCTTTGAGGCTGTGCAAATTTCCTGTTTCTCCTTAAAGTTTACCCATGAATTTTAGTATTTTGTGGATCTTAATGATGATATTCTATTTCCTTCATTCCTTCTACGTTTATTATTTATTAATTAGAATTCTGTCCAGCCTGGGCAAGCTCGTTTCTCCAAAAAAATTTTTTAAATAGCTCAGCGTGTAGCCGGACTCGGTGGCTCAGCCTGTAATCCCAGCACTTTGGGAGGCTGAGGTGAGAGGATTGCCTGAACCCATGGGTTCGAGACCAGACTGGGTAACTTGGCAAGAATTCATCTCTACAATAAGTCAAAAAATTACCTGGGCGTGGAAACTTTAGTTCCAGCTACTTGGAAGGCTGAGGCAGAAGGACCACCTAAGCCCAGCAGGTCAAGACTACGGTGGCCATGAGCATGCCACTGCACTCCAGCCTGGGCGACAGAGTGAGACTCCGACTCAATCAATCAATCAATCAATCAATCAATCAATAGCTCAGCGTGGTGGTATGTACCTCTAGTCCCAGCTACTCTTTTTTTTTTTGAGTTGGCGTCTCACTCTGTTACCTGGGCTGGAGGACAGTGGCATGTTCATGGCCACCGTAGTCTTGACTTGCTGGGCTCAGGCAATCCTTCTGCCTCAGCCTCCCCAGTAGCTGTAACTACAGGAGCGCACCACCACACCCAGCTAATTTTTTGATTTATTGCAGAGATGAGGTCTCGCCAAGTTGGCCAGGCTGGCCTTGAACTTCTGGGTTCAGGCAGTCCTCTCGCCTCTGCCTCCCAGAATGCTGAGTTTACAGGCAGGAGCCATTGCGCCTGGCTAGCCCCAGCTATTCTAGAGGCTGTAATGGGAGGATCACTTGATTTTAGAAGGTCGAGTCTGTGGTAAGCTGTGATGGTACTGCTGCACTCCAGTCCGAGTGACAGAGTGAGAACCTGGCTCCAAAAAAAAAAAAAAAAAGGAACATGTGGTCACCTTTTCACCTTATTTACCAGTTTTGGATAAGTTTTCTAATATTAGTAAAGATGTTCTGATGTAGGATAGTCAAAAAGAGAGCTAGACGTCCACTGCAGTGGGTGTTTCTAGAAGGGTCATGAAAACATTGTCCTTTGAGGCTAGGGTGTTTGGGGCTTAAAAACTTAATATGAGACTGGAGTGAAATACCTACCCGGGTGAGAATGAACTGTCCAGACCAGACCACATGTCTCAGAGGCCCAACTACATTCTCCCCCATATGTGGATTTGTGCAAACCATACCTCTTTGGTCCTCAGTTTCCCAGAGGTAAGAGGAAGATGAAAATGCTGGTTGACTCAAGATCAGCAGTTCTCAGGCTTCAGTGTCAGAATCCCCTGGGGTTCCTCAAAACCCAGACTGCTGGCTCTACTTGCAGACTGTCTGCTTCAGTGGGCCTGGGGCGGGATTTACATATTTATTTATTTATTTGTTTGCTTTTTGAGTCGGGGTTCTCACTCTGTCACCTAGGCTGGAGTGCAGGGGCATCATTATAGCTGACCAAAGCCTTCACCTGCTGGGCTCAAGCTATCCTCCTGCCTCAGTCTCTGAGTAGCTGGAACTGTAGGTGTGTACCACCACACCTGGCTAATTTTTTTTTTTTTTGGTAAAGACAGAGTCTCAGTATGATACCCAGGGTGGTCTTGAACTTCTGGACTCAAGTGATCATCCCACTTTGGCCTCCCAAAGTGCTGGGAATGCAGGCATGAGCTACCACGCCTGGCCTGGATTTGCATTTTTTATTATTTATGTAGGTATTTATGTATTTCCTCAATCGTGGGTCTTACTCTGTTGCCCAAGCTGGAGTGCAGTGGCACACTCACAGCTCACCAAAGCCTCGACCTCCTGAATTCAGGTGATCCTTCTGCCTCAGCTTCTCGAATAGCTGGAACTACTGGTGTGTGCCACCGTGACTGGCTAATTTTTAAATTTTTTGTAGAGACAAGGTCTTGCTATGTTGTTCAGTCTGGTCTCAAACACCTGGGCTCAAGCAATCCTTCTACCTTGGCCTCCCAAAGTGTAGGGATTACAGGTGTGAGTCACCGCACCCAGCTGGACTTGCATTTTTCAAACAATGTCACGTGATGCTGCTGCTGGTCCAGAGACTACGTTTTGAAACCCATTAGCTCAGATGATCTCTAAGGTCCCTTACCAGCTTCGGACTAGACATTTATTCCAATGACAAAATCTTCAGACCTGACTATGAAGAAGTCCCCGAGGCCCGGAAAATCTGGGCAACTTGTGCAGGAGACACTGAAAGATTACTGTGTGCCACCCATGGTGTTCAACGCCTCTAAGACCCAGTCAAGGCCAAGGGAAGGATGAAGGGTGGGTGGAGTGAAGTGCAAGCTGGAATCTGGGTTCTACTCCTTAACGACTATGTACCCTTGAGCAAGTGACTAAATAACTTTCTGTCTCGATGTCCTTATAAAAAGAGGACAGTGATGTACTTACGTGACCTGGCATAAAGAAATGATTGTTGCTGCTAAGGTTATTATTTTGTTTTTATTTTTATTTTTTTTTAGAGATGGAGTCTTGTTCTGTCACCCAGGCTGGAGTGCAGTGGCATGACCATAGCTCACTGTAGCCTCAATCTCTTGGGTTCAAGTGATTCTCCCACCTCAGCCCCCCGCAAAGCTGGGATTACAGGTGTGCACCACCATATCCAGCTAATTTTTAAAAAAATTTTTAGTAGAGACAGGGGTCTCACTATGTTGTCCAGGCTGGTCACGAACTCCTGGCCTCAAGGAATCCTCCCACGTCCGCCTCCCAAAGTGCTGAGATTACAGGTGTGAGTCACCACACTCAGCCTAGGATCATAGTTTGTTACTGAGTCTGTCTGGTGGGGAGAAATGACAGTGCTAGAAGTGATACCTATTTCTAGAGCGTGTCCATCTTCCTCTGCCAGAACTCAGCTGGATTTCCATTTGCTAACTTCAACCCTCTCACAGAATCCAACACAGATTATGATAGAAATCAATATAATTTATTAAATAGATTCCAACTTTCCTCCAAGGAGCATTAATAACTCTTAGTACAATAAATATCAATAAATTAACATAGCTGCCACCTCGTGCCCTCATGAAGGGATAATGAGAATAAGATTTATGCTTGCAAAGAAAAACATCCTATAAGTACCAAGACTAATGACAATAACATAATCATTTTCAAGTTAGCCCATAAATGTAAAGCTTAGCCCTCGACTAGCTCATTTGAGGATTCATTGGAATGACTTGTTGGAAAAATATATTTAGTAAATCACAGCAGAGTTCTCACACTTAGCTGTCCGTCATTTTTTTAAGGCTTCATAAGTTCCAGCCATTCTCAAAGGAATTGTTTCCACCAGATGACCTTAAATGCCCTATTGGACTTCAGCTGTCAGCGATTTTAACACGTGGTCCACACACTCCGAAAACTGCTGAAAGACTGTCAAGATGAAGCATTTCAGTTCAAAGGTATCTGTAGGCAGAGAAATGTCTGTTTCTGGGGCATCTTGAAGTCTGAGTTTGTCGAGATGCTCTAAAACTTCATCAATAGCAGCCGTGTCATCTCTAAACTGTCTGATCGCCTTGAAATATGCCCGGATGTCTGAGCTGCTGCTGTTGTCGGGCGGTTGGGCATTGGGGGTGAAACATGGCAGTGTGTAATTTTGGAATGTTGGCACGACCTTCTCTTCCTTCACCTGTGGAATGAGGAGGAGAAGAGGTGGGCATTAGGGCTGCCGTGACAGCCAGAAGTGCTAACAGCCAGCATTTGCATTGTTCCTCTGTGACTAGCTTGGTACACCTCTTGGCTGGTCAGTGTAACAACCCTGTGAGACTGTGGTCATCACCATCCCCATTTCCAGTAGAAACTAGAGCCCAGCTGGTTTATGGAGGTGGCCCAAGATCACGTGACCAACCTGGCATTCCAGCCCAGGTGGGCAGCGGTCCTGAAGCTGAGCACAGTACCATTGCTCCATCCTGCCTCTACCTCTCCAGCTAAGTTCTCCACGGCCTTCCAGAATCTGCTTCCAGGGGCTCAGGGAAGTGGGGGATCAGAGCACATCTGGGTTTCCATGCCAGCTCCTTGCTCTTTTTGACTCCCCTGCTTATAGAGGAGGGTGATATACTTGTCTGAAAAGACCTCTGATATGCAAGGGAGAGATTTTCCAAACAAATCAATCCCTCTCGAGACCAGCCTGGGCAACATGGCGAGACCTCATCTCTATAATAAATCAAAAAATCAGCCAGGTGTGGTGGCACATGCCTGTGGTTCCAGTTAATTGGAAGGCTAAGGCGGAAGGATCACCTGAGCCTGGCAGGTCGAGGCTGCAGTGGCCATGAGCATGCCACTGTACTCCAGCCTGGGGAACAGAGTGAGACTCCAATTAAAAGAAAAGAAAAGATGTTCTAATAAAGGACAGACAAAAAGAGAGCTCCCTCTTCCTAAGGACAAATCGGTCTTGGGTCAGACAGAATGGCTAAGAGCAACTCATCAACCTGAACAGCCTAGTCATTTTGGCTGGTAACAAATCCACCTTTACAAAAACCAAGGCTAAAGTCTAGATGCCAAAGCACATGGGAAGAGTAATGCCAATTTCATGAGCTCTAATTTTTGATATTTGCTCATTTAGCCAAAGCTATCTAAGAGGTCCTGACTTGATTACAGCTCAGAGAAAATGAAAGAGGATTGACATGTATTCAGTCTCAGCCTATTTCTGGCACGGCCTGCCTCAGCAGAGCCCCTGATACAAGCAGGCTGGGTCCTAATGTCATACGCAGAGCTACATGCAGACAATCGGCAACCAGGAACTGCCCTTCTCTGCGATAAGAGACACTCGGTGGCCCACGTGAGGAGTGTAATACCCTGAGTTTCCTGGGACATCTTTTATAGCTTGGATTGGCTTTCTCTGCTCCTGAATGCAAGATGGCCTGTCTTTAAGGGTGTGCCTCCTGCAGGAGACTCAGTTGATTGTACTGTGGACCAAGAAGCCTCTCGTACATGGAGACTTTTTGAGATTTTGGCTCTGGGCTAACTGCTGCATCTTCTTTTTTTTTTTTTTGAGTTGGAGTCTCACTCTGTTACCCAGGCTGAAGAGCAGTGGCACGCTCCCAGCCACCGCAGCCTCGACCTGCTGGGCTCAGGCTATCCTTCCGCCTCAATCTTCCAGGAGGTTGGAACTGCAGGCACGTGCCACTATGCCTGGCTCATTATTTGATTTATTGCAGAGATGAGGTCTGGCCAAGTTGCCCAGGCTGGCTTCAAACCCATGGGCTCAGTCTAATCCTCTCACCTCGCCCTCCCAAAATGCTGGGATTACAGGCGTGAACCACTGCACCCGGCCTACTGCTGCATAAAAACACCCTCCTAACCTGTCTAGGTGTCCCTTTCCACAACCCTCGCCACAGATCTGGAAAGAGCAGCTGCTTCTGGAGGCAATGGAAGGCAATTTGAAGAAACGGTCTGGAAAAGAACTTTCTAGGGCACTTACGTAGTTTTCCAAAAGCATCTCCGACACGAACCGTAGCTCCTCTACTATTTTCTGTACTTCCCTCGCTGGTAGGGAATGGATGGGAAACGTGTGGGAAGACAGCCAGCTTCTCAAGCAGCAGAGCAGAAACAGCACCGACGTCGCGGGGCCTGCAGGGAGAACGATGCTGTGAGCACATGGCAGACATCCCGCCCACCCGGTTCATCATGCAGTTGCTGCTGAGCTATTGCAGGGGAAACCCTTCCAGAATCTTCCTTCCTGGCAAGGTAAGACTATGCCCAAGACGCAGGGAGCAGACGCACGAGTGGTACCTGCGTGAGAGACCATGGTGAGAGAGAGTGAGGCCTGCCTCGGCAGAAGCTTCTGGAGTCTGGTGTGTGCGCCATGGCCATCGGGAAGTATATAAAGGGACCGTGTGAGGAAGAGGGACAGTCAGTGTCCCGCCCATGGCAAAACCATCACTCACCTTTTCTCCAGAAAAGACTTTCAAATTTCTGTCCGCCTGTGCTGAGTGAAAGCAGGGCTGGAAGGAAATACTGAGGTTACCCTCAAGATAGGAAGACCTCTGACTCAGCACACACACACACACACACACACACACACACTGCATAGGAAGGCACATACATCTTTGCCATTTCTTCTTGGAAAGAGCCTGTTGATTTGACTAGACAAAATTCCGAAGCCAAGGGTCGACAGGTAAAACTACCAGGGAACGGGACACTTCCAGGACTCGAGGGTCAGTACCCTGCAGGGAATTTCTGGAGTCTATCAGGCTGAGTGTATGTAGGTGCAAAGCTGGCATGAGATTTGCAGAATGTGACATCTCTGGAAATTTCTGCAGCACGCCCATGCCAGTGTGCGGGGATGGCCCTCCTACCTGTTGTGAATGTGGTGAGATGAAGGCTTCATCTCCATTCTGTTTGGCTTTGAACATCACTGGACTCTCAACTGTGCCTTTGCGACCCAGGGACCAGAATCAGAATCCAGGTTCAAGTGAGATTTGTTAGGCTGGGTGTGGTGCCTCATATCTGTAATCCCAGCACTTCAGGAGGCGGAGGCAGGAGGATAGCTTGAGTCCAAGAGTTCGAAACCAGGCTGGGCAACATAGTGAGACCTCATTTCTACAAAAAAAATTAGCCGAACGTGGTGGCACACACCTGTTGTCCCAGCTACTCAGGAGGCTGAGGAGGGAGTATCACTGAAACCCAGAAGTTTGAGGCTGTGGTGAGCTGTGATCATACTACTGCACTCAAGTCTTGGCAGCAGAGTGAGACCCTGATTCAAAATAAAAATAAAAATTAAATAAATAGTTATCTGTTGAAATCACTCCTTCCTTTCGAGTCAGGGTCTCACTCTGTCGCCCAGGCTGGAGTGCGGTGGCACGCTCACAGCTCACTGCAGCCACAACCTGCTGGGCTCAGACGATCCTTCCGCCTCAGCCTATCAAGTAACTAGAAAGTACAACCACACCTGGCTAATTTTTTATTTTTGTTTTTGTTTTGAGTTGGAGTCTCACTCTGTCGCCCAGGTTGGAGTGCAGTGGCACGCTCACAGCCACCCCAGCCTTGACCTGCTAAGCTCAGGCAATCCTTCTGCCTCAGCCTTCTGAGTAGCTGGAACCACAGGAGTGCACCACCACATCGGCTAATTTTTTTGTTTTATTGTAGAGATGAGGGCTCGCCATGTTGCCCAGGCTGGTCTCAAATTCCTGGGCTCTGACAGTCCTCTTGTCTCCGCCTTGCAAAGTGCTGGGATTACCATAAACCACCACGCCCGGGTATTTATTCATGTTTTAAGGCAATTTGAAAAAACTCATGCTTCCCACACTGGCTTTCTTCTGGAGTTTTGAGAGTGGTGGTGAACAAGTTAGATGAGGTTGTTGCCCTCAGGGCCCTGTCATAGTGGGCCAAGGACAAACAATAACAACATTCATAAACAAACAAGAAATACCATGGCGGGTTAGAGAGACCCTGGTGAATGATTTTATGTCAGCAAGTCTTTCTAAAGAAGTGACATTTAGCCGGGCTCGGTGGCTCAGCCTGTCATCCCGCACTTTGGGAGACTGAGGTGAGTGGATTGCCTGAGTCCACGGGTTCTAGACCCGCCTGGGCAATTGGCAAGACCTCATCTCTACAATAAATCAAAAAATTAGCCGGGCGTGGTAGCGTGCGCCTGTAGTTCCAGCTACTTGGAAGGCTGAGGCGGAAGGATCGTCGGAGCCCAGCAGGTCGAGGCTGCGGTGGCCGGGAGCAGCCACTGCACTCCAGTCTGGGCGACAGAGTGAGACTCCAACTCAAAAAAGAAAAAAAAGAGAGATGGGCTGCTGAGTGGAGAATGGGTGGTGGGACTCCAAGATGGAATTGGGGACCAATTAGGAGGCAATGCAGCCGTTCAGGGGAGAGGTGATGGCCACTTGGACCAGGGTCTACAGAACTGTCTGATGAAATGATGTGAAGGCGGATCAAAGAGATGGGGCAAGCATGGCTCCTGGGACTTGGATGTAGCAGCTGGGTGGATGACGTGCAGTGAGGGAAGAGGACTCTGGCGAGGGGAACTCAAGCATCCTGTTAGGAACAAGTCAAGGCCAAGGTGCCAGTGGGTATCTGTCCGATGTCAAATCAACCACTGGATAGGAATCAAGAGCTCAGAGCTCAGGTCAGTTCTGGGTGGCCCATAGTTCCCAAGATGCACAGCAAAAGGGGCATGGCCAGGATCCCTCTTTCCACCCTTAATCCCAAGTCTCCTTGTCTCTTCTTTCTCATCCAAGCTTCTTGACAGAGTGTTCTATGCTCAATTTTTCTTCACTTTCCAAACCACTGCAGTATGGCTTCCACCCCAACAATCAAAATCCTCTAGCAAAGTCCGTGGAAGTCTGATGTGTTCGCCATGGCCATCAGAAGGTATATCAAGGCCTCTCATCCACTGGTGTATACTCCCATAATTATGTCGCATTACATGGCAAAAGGGACTTTGTAGATGTAACCATGGGTACTTTGTTGATGTGATCATGGATTATCCAGGTGAGCCCAATGTGATCACCTAAGCCCTTTAAAAACAAGATTTCGCCGGGCTCGGTGGCTCAGCCTGTAAACCCAGCACTTTGGGAGGCCGAGGTGAGTGGATTGCCTGAGCCCGCGGGTTCGAGACTCGCCTGGGCAACTTGGTGAGACCTCATCTCTACAATAAATCAAAAAATTAGCCGGGCGTGGTAGTGCATGCCTGTAGTTCCAGCTACTTGGAAGGCTGAGGCAGAAGGATCACCGGAGCCCAGCAGGTCGAGGCTGCGGTGGCCGGGAGCGGCCACTGCACTCCAGTCTGGGCAACAGAGTGAGACTCCAACTTAAAAAAAAAAAAAACAAAAAAAAAAAACAAGATTTCATGTGTGAGGAGGACTCACCTGGAATTGCTGGCTTGAAGATGGAGGGGACAGTGTGGGAAGCATGAGAAGGAAATAAATTTGGCCAATGACCAGTGAGCTTGGAAGAGGACTCTGAGCCCTAGATGAGAAGCCTTGCCTAGCCAACACTTTTATTTTGGCCCATCGAGGTCTTGAGTGTAGACTCTGTCCACAGCATGCTGGACTTCTGACCTACAAACATTGTGAGACAGTAAATTCTCAGTTTTAAAATGCTAACTTTGTGGTATTTGTTACAGCAGCAGTAGTGAGCTAATACCATCCCCAGGGACCTCAACTTGCCAACCCTGCTGGGTTCTTTCCAACCTTCATTTTATTGACCTTTCCATGGCATGTAACTTTTTTCCCCCATGGTGTCTTCATTTACTGCTTTTTGCCACTATAAGACCAGTCATGGCATGTAATACTACCAGATGCTTTCACCTTCTTAAAAACCTCTTTTCTATTCTCTTTCTTCCTTCCTTCTTCCCTTCCCTCCTTCCTTTCTTTCAAGCAGGATTTATTGAGAGGATAGAAAAGCTTCCACAGTGGGAGGGGACCCGAAGGGGTTGCCCTCTTTTTTTTTGAGTTAGAATCTCACTCTGTTGTCTAGGCTGCAGTGCAGTGGCACGCTCACGGCCAACGCAACCTCGAACTGCTGGGCTCAGGTGATCCTTCCGCCTCAGCCTTCCAAGTAGCTGGAACTACAGACGCATGCCACCATGCCTGGCTAGCTTTTTTTTTTTTTTTTTTTTTTGTGACTTATTGTAAAAACAAGGTCTCACCAAGTTGCCCAGGCTGGTCTTGAACCCCGAGCTCAGGTAATCCTCTCGCCTCGGCCTTCCAAAGTGCTGAGATTACAGGCTGAGTCACTGCACCCAGCCCCGTTCCTTTCATAACAAGTTTTTGTTTGTTTGTTTGTTTGAGTTGGAGTCTCACTCTGTCGCCCAGACTGGAGTGCAGTGGCCGCTCCCAGCCACCGCAGCCTCGACCTGCTGGGCTCTGGCGATCCTTCCTCCTCAGCCTGTTGAGTAGCCGGAATTACAGGCATGCGCTACCACGCCCGGCTGATTTTTTGATTTATTATAGAGATGAGGTCTGATCTGTTTTGCCCCTCTGACAGTACTTTCTCCATGTTCTAGGCCAAATCATTTGCCAACTTATTCAAAAGTCTCCACCCTTGATCTCTATTTTTCACACTTTAAGTTTCATCTCATTCAAACTCCAGATCTAAATGTCCACCTGGCCAGGTGTAATGGTTCATGCCTATAATCTCTGCACTTTGGGAGACTGAGGCAGGAGGATTGCTTGAGCCCAGGAGTACAAGAACAGCCTGAGCAACATAGTGAGACCTTGTCTCTAAAAAATAAAATTAGCAGGGTGTGGTGGCATATGCCTGTAGTTCTAGCTTCTCATGAGGCTGAAGTGGGAGAATCACTTGAGCCTGGGAGTCTGAGGCTGCGGTGAGCAGTGATCATACCACTGCACTCCAGCCTGGGTGACAGAGCGAGACCTCAACTCAAAAAAAAAAAAAAGAGTCCACCTGAACGTCCCACCTGTACCTCAAAGGCATGCCCAGAAGCAAGGATCTGAACCAGGGTAACAGTGACTGTGGAGGTAAAGAGATGTGGATGGACTGGAGAAATATTTGGGAGGGAAAATTCCCAAGGACTGACACTTGATTGGATATGGGGATAGTGGAAAGAGAATTGGGGACAACCTCTAGGGTTCTGGTATGGGCAACAGGGTGAAGGTATCACCACCAACTGAGAGGATCACAGGGCTTGGGTAAAAGGAAGAATTCAAGGAATTTTTGTTTTATTTTTGAGTCGGGGTCTTACTCTATCACCAAGGCTGGAGTCAGTGGCACAATCATGGCTCACCACAACCTCGACTTCCTGGGCTCAGGTGATCCTTCTGCCTTAGCTTCCCA